GACTGAGAAAGACCCTTAATATCCCAACTTTACGGGAACAATTGTATTGATTCTCCGATTTACGTCTCTCAAGTATTTCAGAATCTCATCGTGGTTCCCCCTGTGGCGCTGTCGCCTCTGATGTTTCCCGTTTTCCCTACTCCCCTCACGGGGCGCCGCAAAATGGTGGCACCTTCGCCACGCTGTTCCTGCGGATCCGTGCTCGATAATTTAGTAACTTTTTGCCTAAAGTGAGTGTATTTCGGGAAAAGTATTGAAAGTATTAAATATGTTGATATCAAAAGGGAAGTGTGAGGAGAGTGTGGTATAATTTTATTGAGTAAATCTGTGAGGGGAGTGAGGAGCCGCGGGGGGGCGCCCGCGTATTTCCTCAGGGAAATAACGTCGCTGGGGCACTTTCAGCGCCTCTTCCGCGCTCGCTCCCGATCGAAAACTAAACACTTCTGATATATTTTATATATTTATATATTTAATATACATTTTTTAACATTTTCCCGTGACTTTCCCCCAGCCACTCTCTTTTCTCCCTCCCTCCCCCTTTTTCGGGGTACCGAAACAAAATGGCGGCGGGCGGGAAAAGGGGCCGAGGGGGAAGCTCTGCGCGCCCCGCCGCGACCAATCAGCGCGCGGCTCCCCCACGTCGCCGGGCAGAACCGGATTTTTCTGACCAATCAGAAAATCCGATTTTCCAGGCGGGAGGGGTGAGGGGGGTGGCGAGGCGGCACTCGCGACGACCGTTGCGCACGTAGGTGGGGCTGAGGGGAAGGGAGGGAGGGAGGGAGGGGGGGAGCGGGAAGAAGGAGAGAGGAGAGGGGGAAGGAGGAAGAAATGGGAATTGCGCAGGCGCGGGAAGGGTTTTCGCGGGGTTTCGGCGGCGCGCGCAGGCCTGCGGCGGGTGTGCGCGTGCGCGGGCGCGCGCGGAGCGGGCGGGAAGGAGGAGGAAGGGAGGAGAGGAAGGAGGAGGGAGGGAAGGAGGGAAGGGGGGGGGCGGCGCAGGCGCAGCTGAGGCGGCGGCGGCGGCGGCGGCGGGACCGGCCCGGCCATCGCTCCGCGCTCCGTCCGCGCCCCCCTCGGGGCCTCTTCCCTCCCCCTCTCCCCTCACGAACAACCGAGCGCCTCGTCCTTCACCCCCCACAAACACACACCTCGAACCTCCCCGCGGGCTCCGCCTCTTCCTTCCCTCCCTCCCTCCTTCCCTCCCTCCCTCCCTCCCTCTCCCCGTCCCCGCCCCGCGCAGCCTCCCCTGAAGGCCCGGCCCGGCCTCGCGCTCCGGCCTCGGCGCCGCCGCCTCAGCGCGCCCGCGGCTTCCGCTTCCCCCCCTCCCTCCTCCCTCACCCCCTCCTCCCTGTTCCCCCCTTTCCCTTCCCCTCACGCCGGACCCGCCATGGACGTGAAGCGGCTGAAGGTGACCGAGCTGCGGGCCGAGCTGGGCCGGCGCGGGCTGGACGCCCGCGGGCTGAAGGTGGAGCTGGCGCAGCGGCTGCAGGAGGCCCTGGACGCCGAGATGTTGGCGGCAGGGCCTGAGGAAGGCGGCGGAGGAGGAGGAGGAGGAGGAGGAGAGGCCGGCCGCCGCGCCCGGGGCCTGCGGAGGAGGAGGAGGAGGAGGAGGAGGAGAAGCGGGGCCGGCGGGAGGCCCGGCCGGGCGGCACCAACTCGGAGGGGAGGAGGAGGAGGAGGAGGAGGAGGAGGAAGAGGAGGAGGAGGAGGAAGAAGAGGAGGAGGAGGACGAGGAAGCGCTGCTCGCCGACGAGGACGAGGCGGCCGCCGCGGCCCCCGAGGCGGCCCCGGCCCAGCCCGGCCCTCCCGGGGAGGAGGAGGAGGAGGAGGAGGAGGAGGAAGAGGAGGCGGCCCCGGCCGAGCCCACGGGCCCGGAGCCGCTGCAGCCGCCGCAGGAGGAACCGGCGGCCGAGGCCGAGTCCGAAGCGGCCGAGGGAGGAGGAGGAGGAGGAGACAGCGGCGTGAACGGGGCCGAGCGGCCGCCGGAGGAAGCGCCCAGCGGGGACGAGGCGGCCGCGGCCGAGGCCAAGGAGGAGGGAGCGCAGGCGGGTGAGTGGCAGGAGACCCCGGGAGGATCCCCCTTTCAAACGGGGAGGAGTTTATGATCGATCCCCCCTCGGGACTCCCTCGGATCGGGAATGGACCCCCGGGAGGGATCCCTCCCCCCAACCTGGGATGGAGTTTACGACCCCCCTGACCCCCGGGAGGGACCCCCCGCGACCCGGGAATGGACCCCGATAAGGGACCCCCAGATCCGGGAATGGACCCTCGGGAGGGACCCCTCAAACCACAGATGGACACCGCCCCCCCCGAATCGGGAGGGACCCCCGGGAGAGACCCCCCCGAACTTGAGAGGAACCCCCCCCCCAACCTGGGAGGGATCCCCAGACCCCCGAGAGGGAACCCCCAAACTGGGGAGGGACCCCCCAAACTGGGGAGGGACCCCCCAAAAACTGGGGAGGGATGGACCCCCAAAAACTGGGGAGGGACCCCCCAAACTGGGGAGGGACCCCCAAACTGAGGATGGACCCCCCAAACTGGTGATGGACCCCCCAAAAAACTGGGAAGGGACCCCCCAAACTGGGGAGGACCCCCTGACCCAGGGGATGGGCTGTAAAAGGAACCCCCCCAAAACTGGGGCTGGACCCCCAGGAGGGGCCTCTCCAACCTGGAATGACCCCCCCAAACCGGGGAGGGACCCCCAGACCCTGGGAGGGACCCCCAGACTCCCCCAAAGGGACTTTCTGACCCCCCTAAACGGGAGGGACCCCCTGACCCCTTCTCCATCCCCGTATCCCGGGATTATCCCAGGGTTATCCCATCCTGGAACCCCCCAAAACACCCCCAGACCCCTCTTCCCCACCCCCAAATCCCCCATTCCCCCTTCACCCCTCACCCCCAAAACTCCCCATTCCACCCCCTAAAATCCCAATCCCGGAGCTCCCAAATTCCCCAATTCCCAAGTTTTGGGGGGCCCTTCCCTCTCCTCCAAGGATTTTGGGGGGGTTTGTTCCATCGGAAAGCCAAAAAAAACCTGGAATTAAAAGCCGGTTCCCACTTCCTTGAGTTGGGATGGGAATGGGGGAGTTTTCCCTTTGGAGATGCTCTTTAAGAGGGGATAAAAATCGGGATTTTAGGAAAAATAAGCGGGAAAAAAGTCGCGTTTGGAGCCTTTGGGAGCGGGGAAAATGAATGAATTCCAAGCGGTTGGGATTGGGAAGCGTCGGCTCCGAGCGGGAAGTGGGAGCGTCGGGAGCTCGGCCGGAGCAGGGGAGGGGAAATCCTGGGATTTCGAGGGGGGAAAATCCTGGATTTGGGAGGAAAAGTTGGTGTTTTGGGGTAAAAAAAGTGTGTTCTGAGGGAAAATATCCTGTTTTTTTGGGGGGAAGGGGAGAAATCCTGGTTTTTTGGGAGGAAAATCCTGTGTTTTGTGGGGAAACATCCCGGTTTTGGGAGGGTTTGTGGTGAATTGGGAGGGAAAAACGCTGGTTTTTGGGAAAAACTCCCGGTTTTGGGAGGGTTTGTGGTGATGGCAGAGCGGGATTTTCTTGGGAATGGAGCAAAACCCTCCCCAGAGTCTTCCCAAATTATTGTTTTTATGGGATAAAACTCTTTTATCAACCAAAAAATCTCCATTAAGAGGCTTTAAAAAACACAAAACTTGAATTTCAGGGAATTCTTTCCAAATCTCAGCAGTATTTTTGACCTCTTTTCCATCAAAGAACCCGAAATTTGGGAATTTTCGTGGTTTTCCTTGGATTTCCCTGTAGGATTGAATCCCATTTTTGGCCCAGGTTTCGTAGTTATTCATTAAACCCACGGACGTTGATCCCGAGTTTTTTTCTCCTCCTCCGGGAAAATCCCGCTGGAATTTTTTCACCCCTCGGGGTTTTTAAGGAATTTTCACCTGGTCCCACATTCCAGGTGGGAATTTTTGCTCGCCAGGGGTTTAAATCCAGCCGTAAATCCCTTTTCCAGAGGCGTTTGGAGCATCATTTGGGGAAAAAGTTGGGAAAAGGTGTTAAAATCCATGATTTTCATGGAATGTTTTTACTTCAGGAAAATAACAGGAATTTTATCCGGGGTAAGGAGGCCTTTGGAGCATCATTTGGGAAAAAAATGGGATTCAAGTTGGAAAAAGGAATTTAAATCGCTGATTTTTGTGGAATCTTTTCATTGAACTCGTTTTTTAACGAGTTAAGTGGGATTAAAGTTGGGAAAATCCCTTAAAATCCCTGATTTTCCTGGAATATCTTTGTTTAACTCATTTTATAACGAGTTAAGTGGAATTTAAATGGGATTAAAGGTGGGAAAAACCACTGAAATCCTGGATTTTCTTGGAATGTTTGATTTAATTAATTTTTTATGGAAATAGTGGGAATTTTCTCCTCCCTAAGGGGGCCTTTGGAGCCTCATTTTGGAATTTTGGTGGGATTCAAGTTGGGAAAAGCCCCCAAACCCCCTGATTTTCAGGGAATGTCCTCATTTAACTCCATTTTTAAGGAAACAACTGGAATTTCATTCAGCCCAATGGGGCATCTGGAGCATCATCCTGGAAAAAAAGTGGAATTAAACTTGGGAAAACCCTTTAAAATCCCTGATTTTCCTGGAATATCTTCATTTTCACTCGTTGTTTAACGAATTAAATGGAATTTAAATAGGATTAAAGGTGGGAAATGCCATTAAAATCCATGATTTTGATGGAATATCTTTATTTAACTTCTTGTTTAGGGAAACAGTTGGAATTTCGTTCAAACTGATGGGGCATCCTAGAAAAAAAGTGGGATTAAAGTCAGGAAAACCCATTAAAATCCCTGATTTTCTTGGAATATTTCCCCTAATTCATTTTCCAACGAGTTAAACAGAAGCCAAAGCCAGGAATTCCCTGCTTTCCTGGGAATATTTCATTCCCTTTTTCCACCAAACCCTTGGAATTCCACCCAAAATGGCTCCAGAAGCCCCGGACGGTGCTGGATTTTCCCAATTTTTTGGATGTTTTTTGGGATTCCAGGGGGATATTTGGGCTATTTTCCCAGGGGATGAGGAGGATAAATCCCAGATTTTCCCAGGTGTTTTCTAGGATTCCAGGGGGATATTTGGGCTGTTTTCCAGGGGATGAGGAGGACAAATCCCAGGTGTTTCCCAGGTGTTTTTTGGGATTCCAGTGGGATATTTGGGGTTGTTTTCCAGGGGATGAGGAGGACAAATCCCAGATTTTCCCAGGTGTTTTTTGGGTGTTTTTTGAGATTCCAGTGGGATAGTTGGATGTTTCCCAGGGGATGAGGAGGACAAATCCCAGATTTTCCCAGGTGTTTTTTGGGATTCCAGAGGGATGTTTGGGGTTATTTTTCCATGGGATGAGGAGGACAAATCCCAGATTTTTCCAGGTGTTTTTTGGGATTCCAGAGGGATATTTGGGGCTGTTTCCCAGGGGATGAGGAGGACAAATCCCAGATTTTCCCAGGTGTTTTTTGGGATTCCAGAGGGATGTTTGGGGCTGTTTCCCAGGGGATGAGGAGAACAAATCCCAGATTTTCCCAGGTGTTTTTTAGGATTCCAGTGGGATATTTGGGGCTGTTTTCCAGGGGATGAGGAGGACAAATCCCAGATTTTTCCAGGTGTTTTTTGGGTGTTTTCTGGAATTCCAGAGGGATATTTGGGGTTGTTTTCCAGGGGATGAGGAGGACAAATCCCAGATTTTTCCAGGTGTTTTTTGGGTGTTTTCTGGAATTCCAGTGGGATATTTGGGGCTGTTTTCCCAGGGGATGAGGAGGACAAATCCCAGATTTTCCCAGGTGTTTTTTGGGATTCCAGAGGGATATTTGGGGCTCTTTTCCCAGGGGATGAGGAGCACCAATCTCAGAATTTCCCGGGTGTTTCCCAGGTGTTTTTTGGGTGTTTTCTGGAATTCCAGGGGGATATTTGGGGCTGTTTCCCAGGGGATGAGGAACACCAATCTCAGAATTTCCTGGGTGTCTCCCAGGTGTTTCCCAGGTGTTTTTTGGGTGTTTTCTGGAATTCCAGAGGGATATTTGGGGCTGTTTTCCCAGGGGATGAGGAGGACAAATCCCAGGCTGCGGGATCCGAGGCCGAGCGGCGGGGGCTGAAGCGGCAGCGGGACGAGAAGGACGAGCACGGCCGAGCCTACTACGAGTTCCGGGAGGAGGCCTACAACAGTCGGTGGGAAAACCGGGAATTCCCGGGAATTCTGGGAAAGGGAGGGCACTACAACAGTCGGTGGGAAAACTGGGAATTCCCGGGAATTCCCGGGAATTCTGGGAAAGGGAGGGCACTACAACAGTCAGTGGGAAAACCGGGAATTCCTGGGAATTCCTGGGAAAGGGAGGGCACTACAACAGTCGGTGGGAAAACCGGGAATTCCCGGGAATTCCTGGGAAAGGGAGGGCACTCTGACCACGGGAATACCCTGTGGGAAGGGGGGACCTGGATGGGAGAGCCGGGATGGAGCTGGAGCTGCCTGGGAATGGGGGGGAACTGGGAATGGGATCCCACTGGGGATTGGGGACCCCACTGGGAATGGGGAGGGAAGTGGGGATTGGGATCCCACTGGGGATTGGGATACCCCTGGAGATTGGGGATCCCACTGGAGATCCCACTGGGGATGGGGAAATGGGAATGGGATCCCACTGGGGATTGGGATCCCACTGGGATGGGGATCCCATTGGAGATGAGGATCCCATTGGAGATTGGGATCCCACTGGAGACTGAAGGGGGAACTGGAGCCCTCCAAAGCCAGGAGTCCACTTGGAACAGCTCCCTGAATCCCCCCTGAGCTTGGGATCCCCCTGGAACGAGCTTGGGATCCCCCTGGAATGGGCTTGGGATCCCCCTGGAACGGGCTTGGAATCCCCCTGGAACGAGCTTGGGATCCCCCTGGGATGAGCTTGGGATCCCCCTGGGATGAGCTTGGGATCCCCCTGGAATGAGCTTGGGATCCCCCTGGAACAAGCTTGGGATCCCCCTGGAATGGGCTTGGGATCCCCCTTGGATGAGCTTGGGATCCCCCTGGGATGAGCTTGGGATCCCCCTGGGATGAGTTTGGGATCCCCCTGGAACAAACTTGGGATCCCCTTGGGATGGGCTTGGGATCCCCCTGGGATGGGCTTGGGATCCCCCTGGGATAAGCTTGGGATCCCCCTGGGATGAGCTTGGAATGCCCCAGGAATTGGCTTGGGATCCCCCTGGGATAAGCTTGGGATCCCCCTGGGATGAGCTTGGAGTGCCCCAGGAATGGGCTTGGGATCCCCCTGGGATGAGCTTGGGATCCCCCTGGGATGAGCTTGGGATCCCCCTGGAACAAACTTGGGATCCCCCTGGAACGAGCTTGGGATCCCCCTGGAACGAGCTTGGGATCCCCCTGGAATAGGCTTGGAATCCTCCAGAAAAGAGCTTGGGATCCCCCTGGGATGAGCTTGGGATCCCCCTGGGATGAGCTTGGGATCCCCCTGGAATGGGCTTGGGATCCCCCTGGAATGAGCTTGGGATCCCCCTGGAATGGGCTTGGGATCCCCCTGGGACGAGCTTGGAATGCCCCTGGAATTGGCTTGGGATCCCCCTGGAACGAGCTTGGGATCCCCCTGGAATATCCCCTGGACCCCCCCCAGAGCCGAGGGACGATCCCAGAGCTCCCCAATTCCCCTGGAATCCCTGGAATCCCTCCCTGATCCCACACTTCCCGATCCCACAGGTCCAAGTCGCCGCCGCCGCCCGAGGAGGAGCCGCGGGAGGGGGAAGAGGACGAGAGCCTCGTCATCCTCGACACCTGTACGGGCTGGGAACGGAATTCCCACCGGGATTCGGGGCCTTTGGGATTGGGGGAGGGACTCGAGACGGTTTTGGGGTGAATTGAGGAGATTTGGGGGCGTTTTTGGGGCGATTTGAGGGGGTTTTGGGGGCGTTTTGAGGTTGTTCAGGAGCATTTTTGGTCTATTTTGGGGGCGTTTTTGAGGTGTTTGAGGCACTTTGAGGTGTTTTGGGGGTGATTGAGGAATTTTGGGGGCATTTTTGGGGTGATTTAAAAGAGTTTCTGAGGTTTTGAACTTTGTTGGGAGGTAATGTGATGGATTTTTGGGAGTGTTTTGGGTAGTTTTGGGGGGATTTGAGGGATTTTGGGGTGATCTGGGGCATTTTTGGGTGTTTTTTGGGGGGGATTTGAGGGGCTTTGGAGGTTTTGGGCTGATCTGGGGCATTTTTGGGTGTTTTTTGGGGTCACTCGAGGCATTTCTGGAGCAATTTCTGGGGTGATTTGAGGTGTGTTTTGGGGACGAATTGAAGCATTTTGGGCTCAATTTGAGGTGGGTTTTTGAGGTCCATTTGAGGTGGGTTTTTAGGAGGAATTGATGCACTTTGAGCTCAATTCCAGGTGGGTTTTTAGGAGCAATTTTGGGGTCAACTTACAGTGGATTTCTGTGTAAATTCATCCCATTCTGGGATAACTTTGGTCATTTTGGGGTGGGTTTGGGGGTGGATTTGAGGGGGATTTTGGGGTGGATTTCTGTGTAAATTCATCCCATTCTGGGATAACTTTGGTCATTTTGGGGCGGATTTTGGGGGTGGATTTCAGACTGAGTTTTAGGGTGGGTTTTGGGGTGGATTTTGGGGCAGGTTTTGGGCTGGATTTTGGGGCAGGTTTTGGGGTGGATCTCAGGGTGGGTTTTAGGGTGGATTTTGGGGCAGATTTTGAGGTGGATTTCAAGGCAAGTTTTGAGGTGGATTTCAAGGTAGATTTTGGGGTGGATTTCAGGGTGGGTTTCGGGGTGGATCTCAAGGTGGATTTTGGGGTGGATTTCAGACTGGGTTTTGGGGTGGATTTTGGGGCAGGTTTTGGGGTGGATTTTGGGGCAGGTTTTAGGGTGGATCTCAAGGTGGATCTCAGGGTGGGTTTCAGGCTGGGTTTTGGGGTGGATCTCAAGGTGGATTTTGGTGTGGATTTCAAGGTGGGTTTTGAGGTGGATTTCAAGGTGGGTTTTGGGGTGGATTTTGGGGCAGGTTTTGGGGTGGATCTCAAGGTGGGTTTTGGGGTGGATCTCAAGGTGGATTTTGGGGCAGGTTTTGGGGTGGATTTGGTGGGTTTTGGGGTGGATCTTTGGGGCAGGTTTTGGGGTGGATTTCAGGGTGGGTTTTGGGGTGGATTTTGGGGCAGGTTTTGGGGTGGATCTCAGGGTGGGTTTCGGGGTGGATCTCAAGGTGGATTTTGGGGCAGGTTTTGGGGTGGATCTCAAGGTGGGTTTTGGGGTGGATTTCAGGCTGGGTTTTGGGGTGGATCTCAAGGTGGATTTTGGTGTGGATTTCAAGGTGGGTTTTGAGGTGGATTTCAAGGTGGGTTTTGGGGTGGATTTTGGGGCAGGTTTTGGGGTGGATCTCAAGGTGGGTTTTGGGGTGGATTTTGGGGCAGGTTTTGGGGTGGATTTCAGGGTGGGTTTTAGGGTGGATTTTGGGGCAGGTTTTGGGGTGGATTTCAGGCTGGGTTTTGGGGCAGGTTTTGGGGTGGATCTCAAGGTGGATTTTGGGGTGGGTTTTGGGGTAGATTTCGGGCTGGGTTTTGGGGTGGATTTTAAGGCAGATTTTGAGGTGGATCTCAGGGTGGGTTTTGGGGTGGATTTTGGGGCAGGTTTTGGGGTGGATCTCAAGGTGGATTTTGGGGTAGATTTCGAGGCAGATTTGGGGGTGGATCTCAAGGTGGATTTGGGGGGGATTTTGAAGCAGATTTTGGGGGTGGATCTCAAGGTGGATTTGGGGGATTTTGAAGCAGATTTTGGGGTGGATTTCAGACTGGGTTTCAGGGTGGGTTTTGGGGTGGATCTCAAGGTGGATTTTGGGACAGGTTTTGGGGTGGATTTCAGGCTGGGTTTTGGGGTGGATTTTGGGGCAGGTTTTGGGGTGGATTTTGGGGCAGGTTTTGGGGTGGATCTCAAGGTGGATTTTGGGGTAGATTTCGAGGCTGGTTTTGGGGTGGATTTCAGGCTGGGTTTTGGGGTGGATTTCAAGGCAGATTCTGAGGCGGATTTCGAGGCGGGTTTTGGGGTGAGTTTCAGGGTAGGTTTTGGAGCAGCTGGGTCCCCAAAATCCCCCTCTCTGTGCCCCCCCAGACACGTCGGACCTGCAGTTCCGCGCCAGCCGCGACCGCTACGGGGGCCAACCCCTGTTCCCGGAGAAGTTCCCGGGGCTCTGGGCCGGCGCCCGCAGCACCCACGGAGTCACCAAGGGCCGCGTCTGCTTCGAGGCCAAGGTGGCCCCAGCACCCCAAAATCCACGGGAAAAAGGGGCTGGAGGAGGGAGGGGGAGGGAGCGCTGGGGGAGTTTGGGGTGGGTTTGGGGAGGGGGTTTGAGGGGTTTGGAAGGGTGTGAGAGGGGTTTGGGGTGGGTTTGAGGGGGATTGGGTGGGTTTAGGGCTGTTTTGGGAGGGTTTGAGGGGGGTTTGGGTGGATTTGAGGGGGATTGAGTGGGTTTAGGGCTGTTTTGGGAGGGTTTGAGGGAGTTTGGGAGGGTTTGAGGGTGTTGGGGAAGGTTTGGGGAGTGTTGAGGAGGGTTTGAAGGGTTTTGGGTGGGCTTGAGCAGGGCCTGGGGTGGGTTTAGGGCTGTTTTGGGAGGGTTTGAGGGGGGTTTGGGAGATTGGAGGGGGTTTGGGGTGGGTTTGAGCAGGGCCTGGGGTGAGTTTAGGACTGTTTCGGGAGGGTTTGAGGGGGGATTGAGTGGGTTTAGGGGGATTTGGGGGGTTGGATGGGTTTGAGGGGGTTTGGGGGATTTGAGGGGGTTTGGCTGGGTTTGAGCAGGGGTTGGGTGGGTTTAGGGCTGTTTTGGGAGGGTTTGAGGGGATTTGGGAGGGTTTGAGGGGGATTTGGGGGAGTTTGAGGGGGGTTTGGGAGGGTTTGAGGGGAGTTTGGGGATTCCAGAGGGGTTTGGGTGGGTTTTTAGGCTGTTTTGGGAGGGTTTGGAGCCCATTTTGGGGCCAGTTTGGACAATTTCAGGCCTTTTGGGGCCACTTTAGGGCCATTTTGGGGTTTTTTAAGGCCACTTCCCCCCTTTTCCCATCCCATTCCTGGCTGATCCCATTTTTTCCCCCCTCAGGTGACGCAGAACCTGCCCCTCAAGGAGGGCAGCCCCGAGGTGCCCTTTTCCGTGTGGGTTGGTCCGTGGATTTCTCCCACTCCCAACTGGGTAAAAAAAACCAAACAAACCCCAAAAACCTCCACTTTTCCATCCCCAAAATCCCCCTGGAATTCCGGGACACCCATCCCTGGATCCCAACGCTCCGGTTCCCTCTCCCACCCCAGGGGAGGACGAGTTTTCCTACGGATACGACGGGCGGGGCCTGAAGGTGGAAAATGGGCAGTTCGAGGAGTTCGGGCAGAGCTTCGGGGAGAACGACGTCATCGGCTGCTTTGCGGTGAGGAAATCCGGGAAAATCCGGGAAAATCTGGGAAAAAAGGGGCGGGGAGGGGTCTGGGAAAATCGGGGGGGAAGTGGGGAAAATTAGGGGGGGAAAGGGAGAAAAATAGGGGGAAAAAGGGGAAAAAAAGGGGAAAGGGTTTAGGAAATATTGGGAGAAAATGGGGAAAAAATAGAGAGAAAATGAGGAATAATTGGGGAAAATGGGAGGGGAACATCTGGAAAAATGAGGGGAGTAGGGGGAGAGAGATCCAGGAAAACTTGGGAACAAATCCAGGAATGTTGGGAGGGAATTAAGGAAAAAATGGGGAGAAGTCAGGGGAAAAAAATCTGAAAAAAAATGGGGAACGATTTGAAAAAATGGGGGGAAAAATTCGAGGGGAACGATTCAGAAAAATTGGGAAAGGGGGAGGAAGTATGGAAATAAAGAGGAACAAATTCAGAGAAATGGGGGAAAAGAATTCCAGGGGAACAAGTGAGAAAAATGGGGAGGGGGAAACCCTGGGAAAAAAAAAAAAGATAAAAAGGAACTATTTGGAAAAATGGGAAAAAATTCCAGGGGAACAATTCAAAAATGTGGGGGAAAACCTGAAAAAAAAAAGGCACTGTTTGTAAAAAAAGGGGAAAAAATTGAGGGGAACAAATGAGAAAAATGGAGGAGGAAAACCTTGGGAAAAAAAAAAGGAGCCACTTGTAAAAATGGGGGAAAAAATTCCAGGAGACAAATACAGGAAAGGGGGGCAGGGGGATGTGGAAAAAAAGAAGGATAATTTGTGAAAATGGGGGAACTGAAAATAAAAAGGAACAATTTGTAAAAAGGGAGGGGGGTGAAAATTCAAGGGGGAACAAGTGAGAAAAAGGGGGAGAACATCTGGAAAAAATATGGGAGATGGGGGGGGAAGAGGGAGATACCCAGAAAAACCTGGGAAATCTGGGAAAAGCGAAGCAAACGACCCCTGCAGAAGCCGCTCCCAGGGGGTTTGTTTTGGGATTTGGAGCCTGATCCCGTATTTTTTTTCCCCCAGGATTTCGAGGGCTCAGAGGAGGTGGTGGAGCTGTCGTTCTCCAAGAACGGGGAAGGGCTGGGCCCGGCTTTCCGCGTTCCCAAGGATTCCCTGGGGGAGCGGGCGCTGCTGCCCCACGTGCTGTGCAAGGGCTGCGCCGTCGAGCTCAACTTCGGCCAGCGCGACGAGCCCTTGGCGGCCGTGCCGGACGGGTTCGTTTTCATCCACGCCCTGCCCGCCCAGGAGCGCGTGCGCACCCCCCCGGCCCCCCGCAGCACCCAGGAGTGTTAGGTGAGCCTGGGAATTGCCATGGGAATACTGGGAATAATGGGAATGGTGGGAATGGTGGCTCTGGGAATGGTGGGAATGCTGGGAATGGTGGGAGTGCTCCTGAGTGCTGGGCGTGCGCACCCCCCCGGCCCCCCGCAGCACCCAGGAGTGCGAGGTGAGCACGGGAATGCTGCTCCTGGAATGGTGGGAATGCTGCTCCTGGGAGTGCTGGGAATGGTGGGAGTGCTCCTGAGTGCTGGGCGTGCGCACCCCCCCGGCCCCCTGCAGCACCCAGGAGTGTTAGGTGAGCCTGGGAATTGTGGGAATTCTGCTCCTGGAATGATGGGAATGGTGGGAATGCTGCTCTGGGAATGGTGGGAGTACTGGGAATGGTGGCTCTGGGAATGGTGGGAGTGCTGGGTGTGTGCACCCCCCCGGCCCCCTGCAGCACCCAGGAGTGCGAGGTGAGCACGGGAATTCTGCTCCTGGAATGATGGGAATGATGGGAATGGTGGCTCTGGGAATGGTGGGAGTGCTCCTGAGTGCTGGGTGTGCGCACCCCCCCGGCCCCCTGCAGCACCCAGGAGTGCGAGGTGAGCACGGGAATTGCCATGGGAATACTGGGATTAATGGGAATGGTGGCGCTGGGAATGGTGGGAATGGTGGTGCTGGGAATGGTGGCTCTGGGAATGGTGGGAGTGCTCCTGAGTGCTGGGCGTGCGCACCCCCCCGGCCCCCCGCAGCACCCAGGAGTGTGAGGTGAGGGTGGGAATTCTGGGAATTCTGCTCTGGGAATAATGGGAATGATGGGAATGGTGGCTCTGGGAATGGTGGCTCTGGGAATGGTGGGAATGCTCCTGAGTGCTGGGTGTGCGCACCCCCCCGGCCCCCCGCAGCACCCAGGAGTGTGAGGTGAGCACGGGAATTCTGGGAATTCTGCTCCTGGAATGGTGGGAATGGTGGGAATGCTGCTCTGGGAGTGCTGGGAATGGTGGGAGTGCTCCTGAGTGCTGGGCGTGCACACCCCCCCGGCCCCCCGCAGCACCCAGGAGTGCGAGGTGAGCCTGGGAATGATGGGAATTCTGCTCCTGGAATGGTGGGAATGGTGGGAATAATGGGAATGGTGGGAGTGCTGGGCATACACACCCCCCCGGCCCCCCGCAGCACCCAGGAGTGCGAGGTGAGCATGGGAATGGTGGGAATTCTGCTCCTGGAATGGTGGGAATAATGGGAATGGTGGTCTGGGAATGGTGGGAGTGCTCCTGAGTGCTGGGTGTGCACACCCCCCCCCCGCAGCACCCAGGAGTGCGAGGTGAGCACGGGAATTCTGGGAATTCTGCTCCTGGAATGGTGGGAATGGTGGGAATGGTGGTGCTGGGAATGGTGGTGGTGGCTCTGGGAATGGTGGGAGTGCTCCTGAGTGCTGGGCGTGCGCACCCCCCCTCTGGAGCTGCTGGGAATGGTGGCTCTGGATCCATTGGGAATGATGGCTCTGCTCCCTCTGGATGCACTGGGAATGATGGCTCTGGGTCCACTGGGAATGGTGGTTCTGGTCGCTCTGGAGACACTGGGAATGGTGGCTCTGGAGCCATTGGGAATGTTGGCTCTGCTCCCTCTGGAGCCACTGGGAATCTCAGTGCTCATCTGGGAATGGTGACTTTGTTCCTCCTGGATCTACTGGGAATGCTGGCTCTGGATCCACTGGGAATGCCAGAGCCATTCCCTCGTCTCAGATCTGTGAATCCCAGCACTGATCCACCGGGAATCCCAGCACTGATCCACCAGGAATACCAGCACCGCTCCCATCCCTTGGGATCCGCTGGCAATGGGATTTCAGCATCGTTCCATCTCCCTGGATCCGCTGGGAACGCTGGTGCTGATCCCACTTTTCCCCCCCTCCCCGGCTCCAGGTGCTGCTCATGGTGGGGCTGCCGGGCTCCGGGAAGACCCAGTGGGCTCAGAAACATTCCCAGGAAAACCGGGAGAAGCGCTACAACATCCTGGGAACAGAGGCCGTCCTGCACCAGCTGCGGGTGAGCACCGGGAATGCCGGGAATGCCGTGGGGTGCCCGGGAATCGGGAGGGAATCGGGGATCGGGGGGGGCTTGGGGGAGGTTTAGAGGGGATTTTGGGGAGTTTGAGGGAGGAATTTGGGAATTTAAGGGGGCATTCAGGGAGGTTTAGAGGGGATTTGGGGGAATTTGGGGGGCGTTCAGGGAGGTTTAGAGGGGATTGGGGAATTTGAGGGAGAATTTGGGAATTTGAGGGGTTCAGGAGGTTCAGAGGATTGGGAATTTGGGAATTTAAGGGGCATTCAGGGAGGTTTAGAGGGGATTTGGGGGAGTTTGAGGGGGAATTTGGGAATTAGATTTGGAGGGAAGTTTAGAGGGGATTTGAGGGGGATTTGGGGAGTTCAGGGGACTTTTAGGGGAGATTTAAAGGGAATTTGAGGAGTAAATTGGGAATCATTGAGGAAGGTTAAGTGGGATTTGGAAGAATTGGGGCAGTTTGAGAGAGTTTAAAGGGAATTTGAGGGGGAAATTGGGAATCATTGAGGATGTTGAGTGGGATTTGGAGGAACTGGGGCAATTTGAGGGACTTTGAGGGAGATTTAAAGGGAATTTGAGGGGGAATTTGGGAATCATTGAGGGAAGTAAAGTGGGATTTGGAGGAATTGGGGCAGTTTGGTGGACTTTGAGGGAGATTTAAAGGGAATTTGAGGAGTAAATTGGGAATCATTGAGGAAGGTTAAGTGGGATTTGGAAGAATTGGGGCAGTTTGAGAGAGTTTAAAGGGAATTTGAGGAGTAAATTGGGAATCATTGAGGAAGGTTAAGTGGGATTTGGAAGAATTGGGGCAGTTTGAGAGAGATTTAAAGGGAATTTCAGGGGGAATTTGGGAGTCACTGAGGGAGGTAAAGTTGGATTTGGAGGAACTGGGACAATTTGAGGGACTTTGAGGGAGATTTAAAGGGAATTTGAGGGGGAAATTGGGAATCATTGAGGGATTTGGAGGAATTGGGGCAGTCTGGGGGGAGGTTTTGAGGGGATTTTCCAGGGGATTTTCCGGGTGGTTTGAGGACGTGGAGGCTCCCCCGCCCATTCCCATTTGTTTTTCCCCGTTTCCTTTTCCAGACGAGGGGTCCAGAGGTGGAAGAGCTGGATGCCAAGAGCAGAGACCTGCTGACCCAGCAGGCAGCCCAGTGCCTTAGCAAGCTGGTCCAGATTGCTCCCCGCGCCAAGCGGAACTTCATCCTCGACCAGGTATCCCAAAAATCCCGGGAAAAAAACCAACCAACCAAACAAACAACACCCCCACCCCCCTGGGATCCACCTCGTTCATCCCAGAGCTCCTGATCCCCACTTTTCCCTGCCCAGTGCAACGTGTACAACTCGGGGCAGCGCCGCAAGCTCTTGGCCTTCAAGGGCTTCTCCAGGAAAGTCGTGGTGATCGTCCCGACGGACGAGGACTGGAAAAAGCGGCTGGAGCTGCGCAAGGAGGCGGAAGGGGAGGACGTTCCCGAGTCGGTGATGCTGGAGATGAAAGGTGGGGAAGGGGGAAGAACCCGGAGTTTTGCCGCTGTTCCGGTGGGAGTGGCGGAGCGGCGGGAGCTGACGGGTGATTCCCGCGGCAGCGAATTATTCCCTGCCGGAAAAGAACGATTACCTGGACGAGGTGGTGTACGGGGAGCTGGGCAAGGAGGAGGCGCAGCCCTTGGTGTCCCGGTACAAGGAGGAGGCGCGGAAGCTGCTCCCGCCCTCGGAGAAACGAGCCAACCGGCGCAACAACCGCAACAAGCGCAACCGGCAGAACCGCAACCGCGGCCAGGGATACGGTGAGGGACACAGGGATATAGGGATACGGGGATATAGGGATATACAGGGATAGACAGGGATACGGTGAGGGAATCTCTGGGATAACGGGATACAGGGATATAGGGATAGACAGGGATACGGTGAGGGAATCGTGGGATAATGGGGTAGACGGGGATATGGTGAGGGAATCTCTGGGATAATGGGATAGACAGGGATACGGTGAGGGAATCGTGGGATAATGGGATAGACAGGGATATGGTGAGGGAATCGTGGGATAATGGGATATATGGGGATACGGTGAGGGAATCGTGGGATAATGGGATAGACAGGGATACGGTGAGGGAATCGTGGGATAACGGGATAGACAGGGATATAGGGATACAGGGATATAGGAATAGACAGGGATACGGTGAGGGAATCTCTGGGATAATGGGATAGACAGGGATACGGTGAGGGAATCGTGGGATACAGGGATATAGGGATAGACAGGGATATGGTGAGGGAATCATGGGATACAGGGATAGAGGGATATACAGGGATATGGTGAGGGACACAGGGATAACGGGATACAGGGATATAGGGGTAGACAGGGATACGGTGAGGGAATCGTGGGATAACGGGACACAGGGATAACGGGACACAGGGATAACAGGATAGACAGGGATACGGTGAGGGACGCAGGGATAACGGGATACAGGGATATAGGGATACAGGGATACGGTGAGGGACACAGGGATGACAGGATACAGGGATACAGTGAGGGAGACGTGGGATACAGGGATATAGGGATAGACAAGGATACGGTGAGGGACACAGGGATAACAGGATACAGGGATATGGTGAGGGAGAACAGGGATAGACAAGGATACAGTGAGGGAGACATGGGATACAGGGATATAGGAATATAGGGATACAGGGATACGGTGAGGGAATCGTGGGATAATGGGATACAGGGATATAGGGATAGACAGGGATACGGTGAGGGAATCGTGGGATAACGGGATACAGGGATATAGGGATAGACAGGGATACGGTGAGGGAATCTCTGGGATAATGGGATACAGGGATACGGTGAGGGAATCGTGGGATAATGGGATAGACAGGGATACGGTGAGGGAATCGCTGGGATAATGGGATAGACAGGGATATGGTGAGGGAATCGTGGGATAATGGGATAGACAGGGATACAGTGAGGGAATCTCTGGGATAATGGGATAGACAGGGATACGGTGAGGGAATCGTGGGATAACGGGATACAGGGATACGGTGAGGGAATAGTGGGATAATGGGATACAGGGATACGGTGAGGGAATCGTGGGATAATGGGATAGACAGGGATACGGTGAGGGAATCGTGGGATAACGGGATATATGGGGATACGGTGAGGGAATCGTGGGATAATGGGATATATGGGGATACGGTGAGGGAATAATGGGATACAAGGAGCGGATAACAGGATACGGCTGGGACACAAGGAGAGGGGAGGGCTGTGGGATCCCAGGACACGAGGAGGGGGTGCCTGTGGGGATCCAGGGCTGTGGGGTGGGGTGTGGGTGTTCGGGGCTTCCCAAATCCCTTCTCTGATCCGGCTGTTCCCGGTTTTTCCCGGCAGTGGGGGGCCAGCGCCGGGGCTACGACAACCGCGTGTACGGCCAGCAGCAGTACTGGGGGCAGCCCGGCAACCGCGGGGTGAGCGACCACAAATCCGGCAATTCCCAGACAATTCCCGCTTCCCCAGCCCTTCCTGAGCCATTCCTGCTTCCTGAGCCATTCCTGAGCCCATTCCTGACCTGTTCCTGCTTCCTGACCCGTTCCTGACCCCATTCCTGACCTGTTCCTGCTTCCTGAGCCATTCCTGAGCCATTCCTGCTTCCTTAGCCCTTCCTGAGCCATTCCTGCTTCCTGACCAATTCCTGACCCCATTCCTGACCTGTTCCTGCTTCCTGACCCGTTCCTGACCCCATTCCTGACCTGTTCCTGCTTCCTGACCCATTCCTGAGCCATTCCTGACCCATTCCTGCTTCCTGACCCATTCCTGAACCATTCCTGATTCCTGACCCCATTCCTGACCTGTTCCTGCTTCCTGACCCATTCCTGACCCATTCCTGCTTCCTGACCCATTCCTGACCCATTCCTGAACCATTCCTGCTTCCTGAATCATTCCTGACCCCATTCCTGACCTGTTCCTGCTTCCTGACCCCATTCCTGACCCCATTCCTGCTTCCTGACCCGTTCCTGACCCCATTCCTGACCTGTTCCTGCTTCCTGACCCATTCCTGACCCATTCCTGCTTTCTGACCTGTTCCTGACCCCATTCCTGACCTGTTCCTGCTTCCTGACCCATTCCTGACCCCATTCCTGCTTCCTGACCCATTCCTGACCCCATTCCTGACCTGTTTCTGCTTCCTGACCCATTCCTGAGCCATTCCTGCTTCCTGACCCATTCCTGACCCATTCCTGCTTCCTGACCTGTTCCTGACCCATTCCTGCTTCCCCAACCATTCCTGACCCTCTCCTGAACAATTTCTGACCCCATTCCTGCTTCCCCAACCATTCCTGAGCCGTTCCTGCTTCCTGACCAATTCCTGACCCCATTCCTGACCTGTTCCTGCTTCCTGACCCATTCCTGACCCATTCCCGCTTCCCCAACCATTCCTCAACCATTCCTGACCCATTCCTGGTTCCCACCCACTTCCTATTTCTTTCCTACTTCCCGCCCCTTCCCTGCCCACTTCCCAAACCTTCCCTTCTTTCTTTGAACTGGTCCATACTGGTCCTTACTGGTCCGTACTGGTCCTTACTGGTCCGTTGTCCCCCCAGGGGTACCGGAACTTCTACGACCGTTACCGGGGTTACGACGATCGGTTCTACGGCCGCGACTACAACTACGACAGATACCGGGACTACTACCAGCAGTACAAATGCGAGGTAACCGGGAATAAACACCGGGAATATCGGGAATAAACACCGGGAATGGGGGGGCACTACCGGCAGTACAACCGCGAGGTAACCGGGAATACTGGGAATAAACAGCGGGAATGTCGGGAATACTGGGAATAAACACCGGGAATAAACACCGGGAATATTGGGAATAAACACTGGGAATGGAGGGGGGCACTACCGGCAGTACAACCGCGAGGTAACCGGGAATACTGGGAATGTTGGGAATAAACACCGGGAATACAGGGAATAAACACCGGGAATATCGGGAATAAACACCAGGAATAAACACTGGGAGTGGGGGGCACTACCGGCAGTACAACCGGGAGGTAACCACACCGGGAATAAACACCGGGAATGTCGGGAATAAACACTGGGAATGGGGGGCACTACCGGCAGTACAACCGCGAGGTAACCACACCGGGAATACTGGGAATGTTGGGAATAAACACCGGGAATACAGGGAATAAACAGCGGGAATGTCGGGAATAAACACCGGGAATATTGGGAATAAACAGCAGGAATACTGGGAATAAACACTGGGAATATTGGGAATAAACAGCGGGAATATTGGGAATAAACACCAGGAATAAACACTGGGAATGGGGGGGGCACTACCGGCAGTACAACCGCGAGGTAACCGGGAATAAACACCGGGAATAAACACTGGGAATGTTGGGAATAAACACCAGGAATGGGGGGCACTACCAGTACAACTGCGAGGTAGCTGGGAATACTGGGAATGTTGGGAATAAACACCGGGAATAAACACCGGGAAGGGGGGGGCACTACTGGCAGTACAACTGCGAGGTAACTGGGAATAAACACCGGGAATAAACACTGGGAATGTTGGGAATAAACACCGGGAATACGGGGAATAAACACCAGGAATACCAAGAATAAACACTGGGAATATTGGAAATAAACACTGGGAATAAACACTGGGAATGTTGGGAATAAACACCGGGAATAAACACTGGGAATGGGGCACGGGGGTCACATTCCAGGGTGTTCCCATTGGGAATCCGGGATGGAATTGGGAGAACGGGACAGGGGGAGGTGGGGGCTCTGTGGCAGGTCCCAGTAGGTCCCAGTTTAACCAGTAACCCCCCTCCCAGTAACACCTTTACTAGCAGTTATAGGAGCAGGAAGTAACAACATTCCAGGGTGTTCCCATTGGGAATCCGGGATGGAATTGGGAGAACGGGACAGGGGGAGGTGGGGGCTCATTTAGGGGGGTTCACCCTCCCAGTGCCCCCCAGTTCAACCAGTTTAATCCCTCCTTTCCCTCTCAGTAGTGGAGTTACTACCAGTTGTAGGAGCAGGAAGTAACAACATTCCGGGGTGTTCCCATTGGGAATCCGGGATGGAATTGGGAGAACGGGACAGGGGGAGAGGTGGGGGCTCCATGGCAGGTCCCAGTTTAACCAGTTACACCTCCCCCAGTAACACCTTTACTAGCAGTTGTAGGAGCAGGAAGTAACAACATTCCAGGGTGTTTCTGGAGAAAATCCGGGATGGAATTGGGAGAACGGGACAGGGGGAGGTGGGGGCTCCATGGCAGGTCCCAGTAGGTCCCAGTTTAACCAGTTACACCTCCCCCAGTAACACCTTTACTACCAGTTGTAGGAGCAGGAAGTAACGACATTCCAGGGTGTTCCCATTGGGAATCCAGGATGGAATTGGGAGAACGGGACAGGGGGAGATGGGGGCTCCATGGCAGGTCCCAGTTTAACCAGTTACACCTCCCCCAGTAACACCTTTACTACCAGTTGTAGGAGCAGGAAGTAACAACATTCCAGGGTGTTCCCATTGGGAATCCGGGATGGAATTGGGAGAACGGGACAGGGGGAGGTTGGGGCTCATTTAGGAGGGGGTTCACCCTCCCAGTACCCCCCAGTTTAACCAGTTTAATCCCTCCTTTCCCTCTCAGTAGTGGAGTTACTACCAGTTGTAGGAGCAGGAAGTAACAACATTCCAGGGTGTTCCCGGAGAAAATCCGGGATGGAACTGGGAAAATGGGACAGGGGGAGATGGGGGCTCCATGGCAGGTCCCAGTAGGTCCCAGTTTAACCAGTAACCCCCCTCCCAGTAACACCTTTACTAGCAGTTGTAGGAGCAGGAAGTAACAACATTCCGGGGTGTTCCCATTGGGAATCTGGGATGGAACTGGGAGAACGGGACAGGGGGAGGTTGGGGGCTCATTTAGGGGGGTTCACCCTCCCAGTGCCCCCCAGTTTAACCAGTTTAATCCCTCCTTTCCCTCTCAGTAGTGGAGTTACTACCAGTTGTAGGAGCAGGAAGTAACAACATTCCAGGGTGTTCCCATTGGGAATCTGGGATGGAATTGGGAGAACAAGACAGGGGGAGGTGGGGGCTCCATGGCAGGTCCCAGTTTAACCAGTTACACCTCCCCCAGTAACACCTTTACCAGCAGTTGTAGGAGCAGGAAGTAACAACATTCCGGGGTGTTCCCATTGGGAATCCGGGATGGAACTGGGAGAACGGGACAGGGGGAGGTTGGGGCTCATTTAGGGGGGGTTCACCCTCCCAGTGCCCCCCAGTTTAACCAGTTTAATCCCTCCTTTCCCTCTCAGTAGTGGAGTTACTACCAGTTGTAGGAGCAGGAAGTAACAACATTCCAGGGTGTTCCCGGAGAAAATCCGGGATGGAATTGGGAGAACAAGACAGGGGGAGGTGGGGGCTCCGTGGCAGGTCCCAGTAGGTCCCAGTTTAACCAGTAACCCCCCTCCCAGTAACGCCTTTACTACCAGTTGTAGGAGCAGGAAGTAACAACATTCCAGGGTGTTTCTGGAGAAAATCCGGGATGGAATTGGGAGAACGGGACAGGGGAGGAGGTTGGGGCTCGTTTAGGGGGGTTCACCCTCCCAGTGCCCCCCAGTTTAACCAGTTTAATCCCTCCTTTCCCTCTCAGTAGTGGAGTTACTACCAGTTGTAGGAGCAGGAAGTAACAACATTCCAGGGTGTTCCCATTGGGAATCTGGGATGGAATTGGGAGAACGGGACAGGGGGAGGTGGGGGCTCCATGGCAGGTCCCAGTAGATCCCAGTTTAACCAGTAACTCTGTGTGTGTCCCCTCCCAGTGGCAGAACTACTACCAGGACAGAGACCGGTACTACAGGAACTACTACGGCTACCAGGGGTACCGGTGAACCCCAGCCGAGGGCGGCACTTCCCAAACACTTCCGAGGAAATCCGGGAAGGGGGGAGGGCGGGAGGGACCTGGGAAAGCTGGAGGGGAGGGGAAAGGGGAGGGAGGGGCAGGAAAACATCCTGGGAAAAAAAGGGTGGGGGGAGGAGAGGGGAAAAAAATACAAAAGAGGGGGAAAAGGGAACCAAAAAAAAACAAAAATCAGACAAAAAAAATCAAACAAAAAAATCAAAGAAAAAAATCCCGTTAAAAAAATCGACAAAAAAAACACGCAAAAAAAAGAAAATTGTAAATTTTTTTCCTTTTTTTTTTAAAAAGTTTGTTGAGAAAGAATTTTGTTGTAGTTGTGTAAAAAAATAACAGCAAAAAAAAAACACAAACCACGACCCCCAACCCCCACGGGAAAATTCCCAACGTTTCAGCGGCAGGGGAGGGAGAGGGGGAAGGGCCTTCCCAAAATTCCCAGCCCCTCCCAATGAGGGGGAGGGCAGGAAAGAGCCGGATTTTTGGGGGAGGGAAGAAAAAAAACAAAAGGGGGAAGAAAAAAAAAAAGGGTAAAAAAAAATAACCTGAATTTTCCTCTGATTTTTTTCCTTCAAGTAAATTTGGGGGTTTTGGGGGTGGGAGAGGAGGAGACAAAAAATAGAGGGGGAGATTTTGGGCTGAAAAGAGGGAAAAATGGAGCAGGAAATGCCCTAAATTCCCCTCCCCTCCTGGTTTTCCTTCCTCTCCCCCTCCCCTCATTAAATTTCCCTGGAAAAGTTGGAATTGGTTTTTTTGGGGGGATTTTTGAAGGATTTGGAGGAGTTTTTTTGAGGGGGGGGGTTGGAAGGAAAGGGGGGATTTTGGGCCCTTCCCAAGGGGGTCTTAATTAATGGAGGCTCTTAATTAGTGCTAATGAGAAGCCCTTCATTAATTGATGGGAGGGCCTTAATTAGTGTTAATGGGGTCCTTCATTAATTAATGGAGGGGCCTTTACTGGTGTTAATGGGGGACCCTCATTAATTAATTAATTAACTGGAATACCTTTGTTAATTAATGGGGACTCTTAATTAGTGTTTATAGGAGCCCTTCATTAATTAGTGGGGGGCTTTAATTAGTATTATTGAGGGACCTTTCATTAATGGGGGCCCTTCATTAATTAATGAAGGTTCTTTGTTAGTGTTAATGAGGGGCCCTTCATTAATTTGTGGGGTCAGTTAAATAGAAGCCTTATTAATTAAGGAGGAGTCTTCATTAATTAAGGACCCCTCAGTAATAACAATCCATTAGCATTAATGGGGACCCTTAATGGGGTTCTGTCATTAAAAAGGGGCCCTTAATTAGTGTTAATGAGGGACTGCTCATTAATTGGGGCTCTTCATTAATGGGGGGACCTTTCATTAATGGGACCATTAATGGGGCCCTTTCATTAATTGGACTCCTTAATTAACGGAGCTCTTCATTAATTGGGGCCCCTCATTAATGGGACCCTTCGTTAATGGGACCTTTTGGGATTTTCCTGCTTTAATTTGGGGGATTTTGGGGGTGTTTTGGGGCCATTTTTTGGGGGGGGGATTTGGGTTTTTTTAGGGTATTTTGGGAGGTTTGGGGGTTTAATTTTTTGGGAATATTGGGAGGATTTGGGACTTTTTTGGAGGGAAATATTGAGTGGATTGGGGATTATTTTTAGGGGGAAATTGGAGCTTTTTGGGGTGAATATTTGGGGGGTTGTTTTTTGGGGGGAAGGTGGTTTTTTGAGGGAATTTTGGGTGGTTTTGGGGGGATTCGGAGAATTTGGGAGGGTGTTGGGGCTCGTTTTGGGGGACTCTGAGGTTTTTTGGGGCAAAATCTTTTGGGTTTTTTTGGGGGAGAGTTTTGTTTCTTTATTCTTTTATTTTTGAGGGTTGTTTATTTGAGGGTTTTTTTCCCATTTGGAATTTTGATTCTTTTTTGTTGTTTTTTGTTTTGTTTTGTTTCTTTCGTGGGGGTTTTTTCCGTTTCTTTGGGAATTGGGGATTTTTTCGTGTCCTCCCCCTCCTCCCCCACCCCCGTCTTTTTCCAACCTCCCCCCCCAATGTGAGAAAACCCCCCTAAAATCCCCCAAATTCTGGGGGGTTTTTGTTGGGGGGGAAGAGGGAGGGGGAGGCACCGCCGCAGCTTTTGGAGCTTTTTCGGGTCCTTTTTAAATAAAACAAAAACGACCAAAAAAAAAAAAAAAAAAAAAAGAAAAAAAAATATATAATGGAAAAAAAAAAAAAGGCAAAAAAAGCGACAAAAAAATCTCCATTTTTTTTCTCAGTTTCTGGGGATAAATTGCAGCATCCCCTCCCCAAATCCCCCCCCTTCCCCCACCAATCCAACCCCTCCAGGCCGTTTTTTCAGCACATTTCTCCTCTTTTTTCGGTGGTGTTTCTTAAGTTTTTTGGGGGCAAGAATGAAAAATAAACAAAATAAAAAAAAAAGAGCCCTTTTTGATGCCGCTGCCCCCGTGGGGGGAGGGGGGGGCCCCGCAGCCCTTCCCCCTCCCCCAACTCATCCGTGTCCGTTGTAGTTGCGGCCGCTGGGGGGGGTTAAACCTTAAACCTGCCCCTTAAACCTGACCTTAAACCCCCCCAAACCCGAGCCTGACCTGCCCCCTGTGCCCCCACCCCGGCCGTGTAGGCGGTTTTGTCCGTTTTTAGAATAAAGAACCATTCGCTTGAGTCCAGGGGAGGCTCGGTCTGTGTGTTCTGGGGGGGCTTAAACCTGACTTTGGGGGCTTAAACCTGCCTTGGGGGCTCGGTCTGTGTGTTCTGGGGGGCTTAAACCTGCCTTGGGGCTTGGTTTGTGTGTTCTGGGGGGCTTAAACCTGGCTTTGGGGTTGGCTCTGGGGCTCAACGTGGGTCCTGGGGTTGGGTATGGTGTGTAAACTTGGGTTTGGGGGCGGTTAAACTCAGGTTTGGGGGGGTTAAACCCGGGTTTGGGGGGGTTAAACCCGGGTTTGGGGGGGTTAAACTCAGGTTTGGGGAGGTTAAACCCAGGTTTGGGGGGGTTAAACCCAGGTTTGGGGGGGTTAAACCCAGGTTTGGGGGTTAAACCCAGGTTTGGGGGGGTTAAACTCAAATTTGGGGGGATTAAACTCAGGTTTGGGGGGGTTAAACCCCAGTTTGGAGGGGTTAAAGCTGGGGCAGGGGCTGGTTATGGGGCTTAAAACCGGGTTTGGGGTTGGTTTGAGGGTCTTAGGCTGGGTTTGTGGGGGAAGCTGGGCCTGGTTTGAAGGATGTGGAGCTGGGTTTAAGTGAAGGGCCTGAGCTTGGACCTGGGCCTGGTTTAAGGGTTTGAGCCTGACTGGGCTGGGCCTGGGGGGTTTTAGGCCTGGCTTAAGGACTGGGGGGGGTCACCCTGTTGGGGGGTCCCAGGCCCAGATCAGGTTGAGGGAGGGGGAGAACCTGGGAGGGGCAAACTGGGCCTGTTTGAGGGGCCTGGGCCTGTTCACGGAGCCTCAACCCGAATTAATTAACGCAATAAACCAAGCTAATCCGAGATTGAATTCGTTACATTAATTAAATGACTTTAATTAAAGTCTGCGCAGGCCGGGCCTGGTCGGAGCGCTGAGGCCTGGCTGCGGTTGCCATGACAACAAAGGGGGGGTCCAGCTCCGCCATCTTGGATGGCGTTGCTGACATGTTGGGAACGAGGAGCGTAAAAGAGGGGGTGGTTCCCCCCCCCCACGCCTGTCTGGGGGTCCCGCGTGGGGGGAGGAGGGAGGGAGGAACGAAACGTCCCCCCCGAGCTTCCCGTGGGCCTCCATTGCCCCCCCTTTCCCCCTCCCGCCGCCATTTTGGAGGCGGGCCCGGAGGTCCCTCCGCGCGCCGCCATTTTGGGTGCTGGGAGGCGCCATCTTGGGGCCGGCGCGGCGCGCGGGGCGCATGCGCGGGGCTGTCATGGCGGCGCCCGCCTCGGGCCGCTGAGGGGGCTCTGAGGGACGGGGGGGACGCGGAGGGTCTGGGGGGCTCTCCCGGGGCTGGGGGAGCTCTGAGGGCTGGGGGCTTCGGGAGGGTCTCACAGGGGCCAGGGGGCTCTGAGGGCTGGGGGACTTCGGGGGTTCTGATGGGGTTGAGGAGGGGTCTTAGGGGGGTCCCATGGAAGGGGTGGAGACCCCAAGGGGCTCCCCAAGGACCCGGACCCTCCTCGGGGGGTGTGGGGGGATTTTATTCCTCGTTTCCTTCTTCTTCCTTTTTCTTCTTTCCCCTCCTCTTTCCCTTGTTCTTCCTCCCCCTTTTTCCTCCTCCTTCCTTCTCTTCCTTCCTCTTCCTCTTTCCTCTTCCTCCTCTTCCTTCTCTTCCTTCCTCTTCCTCTTTCCTCTTCTTTTCCTTCCTCTTCCTCTTTCCTCTTCCTCCTTCCCCCTCCTCCTTCCTCCTTCCTCTTCCTCCTCCCATCTCCTTTTTTCTTCCTTATCCTCCTTTCTTTCCTCTTCCTTTCCCCCACTTTTCTTCCTCCCACCCTTTTCCTGCTTCCCCTTCCCCTTCCTCCCCTTCCTCTTCCCCAGACCCCTCAGACTCCCCAGTTTTGGGGTCCCCCTCCCCAATTCCCGCACCTTGGGGGTCCTGCCCCAAATTTAAGGGAGTCCCCCTCAATCCTCCCATTTTACCCCATCCAGGCACAACATACCTGAATTTCGGGGTCCCCAACATTTTGGGGGTCCCACCCTCCCTTCCCCACCCCTCCCAAATTTGGGGACCCTCAAAAGGGCGTGGCCTCATCTGTGCCGCCAGCGTGTTTATTGGGGGAGAGGGGAGACATAGCGGGGACCCCCAAAATTGGGGACCTCCCCAATTTTACCCACCCGGGGGGCTTTAGGGGTCCCACGTAGCTGAGGGAGGGTCTGGGGGTCCCCAAAAATTAGGGGGTCAGGGGAGGGGGTTTAGGTGGTCCCTATTTGGGGAGGGGGAATTAGGGAGGGGTGTTCCCCATTTCGGGGAGTTGGGGTGATTTTAGGGGAGCTGGGGGTCCCCACCCCTCCCACCCCCTCAAAGCTGTGGGAACGTTCCTGAACCCACCATTCAAACCTTGAGGGGGGACACCCCCAAAATCCCCCAAATCCCCCCATTCCAGAGCTGGGACCAACCCAACCCTTTTTGGGGTCTCCTGGTGATTTGGGGTCCCCAAACCCCCTTTCCCCCTCGTTGTCGGGTGATAAAACCCCCAAATTGGGTGGGTTTTGTGTGTGGGGGCTCTAAGTGTGTGTGTTTGGGGGGTGGTCCCAAATTTCGGGGGGAGGGGGGGTCCTAAAGGAGGGCACAGAAGAATTTCTTCTCCCTGAAAGGGTTCTCCGAGGTGGGCACGGGGGTCAGCAGGGGGTCCTCGCACGCGTGGGCCTCGCAGTAACTCAGCAGCTCGGCCGCCGCCTTCGACACCTGCACGGCGTGGGGAGGGCTCAGGGACCCCCAGATCCTCACTGGGAGCCCCCAAATCCACATTCTGGACCCCCAGATCCTCCCTGGGAGCCCCCAAATCCACCTTCTGGACCCCCAAATCCACCTTCTGGATCCTCAAATCCTCCCTGGGAACCCCCAGATCCACGTTCTGGATCCTCAAATCCTCACTGGGAACCCCCAAATCCTCCCTGGGAACCCCCAAATCCACCCTGGGAACCCCCAGATCCTCCCTTTGACCCCCAAATCCTCCCTGGGAGCCCCCAAATCCTCCCTGGGAACCCCCAGATCCACGTTCTGGACCCCAAATCCACCCCTGAACCCCCAAATCCTCCCCCTGAACCCCCAAATCCTCCCTGGGAACCCCCAGATCCACATTCTGGATCCCCAAATCCACCCCTGGACCCCCAAATCCACATTCTGGACCCCCAGATCCTCCCTTTGACCCCCAAATCCTCCCTGGGAACCCCCAGATCTTTCCTAGGAACCCCCAGATCCACCCAGGGAACCCCCAGATCCACCCCCTGAACCCCCAAATCCTCCCTGGGAACCCCCAGATCCAGCCCCTGAACCATCAAATCCTCCCTGGGAGCCCCCAAATCCTCCCTTTCACCCCCAAACCCTCCCTGGGAGCCCCCAAATCCACCTTCTAGACCCCAAATCCACATTCTGATCCTCAAATCCTCCCCTGGGAACCCCAAATCCACTCCTGGGAACCCCAAATCCTCCCTTTGACCCCCCAAATCCTCCCTTGGAACCACCAAATTCATGTTAAACCCCCCAAACCTCTCTCTGAACCCCCAAATCTCCCCTCACCCCCATTTGAACCCCCAAATCCACCCCTGAACCCATAAATTGACCCTTTGAACCCCAAATCCCCTTTGTCCCCCCATCCCCTCTTATCCCCAATCCCCCATTTGCCCCCCAAATTTTTCCCCATCTCCCAAATCCCCCAAACTTCCCCCTAATCCCTCTCCCATTTTGCCCCCAAATCCCCTCCCAACCCCCTAAATTCCCCAACCCTCCCCACCCCCACCTCTCCTCCCCTCGAGGTTCCCCCAATAACGGGGTCCTGGGGTCCTAGAGTCCCCAGACCTTGACCCGGCACAGGGAGGCCTCGATCTTGAGCTGCTCCACCATTTTCCGGGCCTGGCCCACGCCTCAGGGTGCTGCTGGGGGCTCTCCTTCATGGGGGCTGGGGGCACCCTGAGATGTGGGACCCCCAAATACCCCCCAACACCCCGGGGTGGGGCGTTTTTGGGGAGGAGGCACCCTGAGACCCCGGGAGGCTTTAAAAATGGGACCTGCCTCCCCTAAAATATCCGGGAGGGCAAAAGGTGGGATCCCCACCCCAAAAGACCCCCCAAGTCCCCCTCCCCACTCCTTCCCCACCAAACTCCCCCAACCCCTCCAGTTCCCAGTTCTTCCTCCTCCCCCCAAAAAATTCCCTCCCTAAAATTTCCTCCCCATCCCGCCCCCTTCCTGGGGCCCCCCAAATCCTCCCAATTCCTCCCTCCCCTTCACCCCCAATACTCCCAAATTCCCCCAAGCCCCTTTTCCAAATCTCCTCCCCTCCTCCCTTTCCATCCCCAAAGACCCTCCCAGACCCCCCCCAAATCCCCCCTCCCACTCCCCAAATCCCCCAAATTCCCGATTTTCTGCTGCCCCCATCCTGACCCCCTCCCTGAGACCCCCAAAATCCCCCAAAAAATCCCTCCCATCCCTTCTCCATCCTTTGCCCCCACAGTCCCCTCCAACCCCCCAAATTCCCGGTTTTTCGCTGTCCCCTCCTTGCCTCTCCCCATCCCTGCCCCTCCCCATCTCGAGACCCCCCTAAATTCCCCCAGGACCCCCAAAATCCCCACCTGGATCCTGCAGCCTTTCGGTGCCGGGCGCTGCTCGGAGGGGGCGGAACCACCTTGGGGGTCGGAAAGGAGGGGGCGATGAGGGGGGAAGGGAGACGCCCCTGCCCCTCCCCCTACTCCTCCTTGCCTCTCCTCTCCCTGGTTTGGGGTCTCCCCTCAAAATATCGGAGGATGCAGAACGGGGGAGGGAAGGGCGATGGGGACCCTCCCCAATCGGCCCCACCCTTGACCCCCAAATCCCCTCGACCCTCCCCAGATCTCCAGGGACCCCCCAGGACCCCCAATTCCTCCCCAAAACCTTCTGGACCCACCTAAACCTCCCTGGGACCCCTTAAATCCACTTAAACCCCAGGAACCCCAATCACACCCTGACCCTCCTCAAGACCCTTCTGAAACCCCTCAGGACCTCCCAGACCTTCCCCTGGGGATCCCCAATCCCCTCTTGACCCCCTGAATCCCCCTAAACCCCCTGAAACCTCTCCTGGAGACCCCCACCTAACCCCCTAAACCCCCTGAGGGACCCCAAAGCCCCTCTTGACCGCCCTAAACCCCTCTTGGCCCCTAGCCAAGGCCCCCAAAGAACTCCAACCACCCTGACCCCAAAGACCCTGAAGCCCCTTTGACTCCCCTGGTACCCCTCCATCCCCGGTTGCTATGGAAACAGGGCGTGGCCTGGCGGGGCCGCAGTGGGCGGGCCTCACCAGGCGGGTCCGCAGTGGGCGGGTTCATGGTGTGGGCGTGGCGTAGCGAAAGTGGGCGGGGTTTATACCACATAGGGTACTGGGTGGGCGGGGCGTGTTGACACAGGGGCGGGGTCACGCCTAAGATCGACCAATAGGGTTGGAGTGGGCGTGGTCTGGGCCCGGAAGGAGCGGGGGGAAAGGGGCGTGGCCAGGGCGCGGCGCGAAGCGGGAGGGCTCCGGGAAGCGGTAACGGCGCGAGATCCCCCCCAAAAAATCCCCTAAACCGCCCCAAAACCCGCCCTAAAACCGCCTCTGGATCCCCCCCAAAACACCCCTCGAAACGGCCCCAGAACCGCCCCCCACCCTCTCCCCAAAAACCACCTCAGAAATCGCCCCAATCCCTCCCCCCAAAACTGCCCCAGGACTACCCCGAAAACCACCTCAAAAACCGCCTCAAAAATAGCCCCAACCCCTTCTCCAAAACTGCCCCAGAATCACCCCCAAAACCTCCCCAAAAACCACCTCAAAATCGTCCCCAACCCCTCCCCTAAAACTGCCCCAAGACCTCCCCAAAACCACCTCAAACCGCCTCTAAAATCTGCCCCAATCCCTCCCCTAAAACTGCCTCTAGAACCACCCCCAAACCCACCCCAAAAACCGCTCTCAGGATCCCCCAAATCTACCAAGAAACAGCCTTACCCTCTCCCCCGAGAAGACCCCCAAACTCCTCCTGAGCCCCTGGAGACACCATGACCCCCTCAAAAACCCCCGGGACACGCAATCCCCTGGGACCCCCTGAGACCCCCAAAACCCTTCTGGGACTCCCAAAATCCCAAAACCCCTCTGGGACCCCCGAGACCCCCAAACCCTTCTGGGGCCCCCAAAATCCCAAAACCCCTCTGGGACCTCTGAGACCCCAAACTCCTCTGGGACCCCCCCCCAGAATCCCCAAACCCTGGGACTCCCCCCGAGAATTCGGGACCCCCTGAACCCCCCCCGGGACCCCCAGATCGGGAGAGCTGGGAGTGTTTGGGGATCCCCCGTAGATTTTGGGGGGCTGAAGGGGGGTCTGGGGTGTCCCAGATTTGGGGTGCCCATAGATTTTAGGGTGCCCCAGAGATCTGAGGGGCTCAAGAGGGGGATCTGGAGGTGCCCCATAGATTTTGGGGTGCCCCATGGATTTTTTGGGGTGCCCCACAGCTCTGGGTTGGTTCTGGAGGGGCTTTCGGGGGGGGTCCCAACCCCTCTATGGGTGGGGGGTCAACCCCTCCCTTCCCTGCCCCTCCCTTCAACCCCTCCCCCCAAATCTGTGGGTCTGGGGGTGGGAAGTATTTTGGGGTGCCCCATCGATTCCAGGGGGATGGATATTTTGGGGATATGGATGTTTTGAGGGTGCCCCACAGCTCTGGGGAGGGGTCTGGAGAGGCTTTGGGGGTCCCAACCCTCTATGGGTGGGGTCAACCCCTCCCCTTCCCCGCCCCTCTCCCCTCCCCAAACCCCTCCCTCGGTAACCTCTCCCCTTTTTTTTTTTTTTTTGTTTCCCTTCCCCAGCTTTTCCATGGGTTCCCCTGTCCCTCCCTCCTCGGCAGCGCCGGCGCTCGGATGGCTCCGGGGGCTCTGGGGTGGCTGTGTCCCCCTCTGCTGCACTGGGGGCTCAGGTGGGCGGGGGCGGCGGCGCTGCTGCAGGGGGCTCCTGCTGTGCCTGGGGCTGCTCCTGCTCTGGGCTTCCATTTTCCTCTACGGCACCTTCTACTGGGCCTACCTGCCCATGGCCACCGATCGTGCGGCCCAGTGCACCTGCGCGCTCAGGTGGGGCACTGGGGGGCACAGGGGGTCGGGGGGAGCACGGGGGTCGGGGAGTGAGGGGGTTATGGGACCCCACCCTGCCCAATGGACCATCATCAACCTGGGCTCGGGTGGGACTGGGGGTTTGGAGGGGCCTGAGGGGGGTTAGGAGGGTTTTGGGGGATCAAGGGGATGTGGGACTCCCACCCTGCCCCATGGGCAGCATCATCAACCTGGGCTCAGGTGGCTCTGGCGGGGGTGGGTTTAGAGGGTTTGGGGCGTCAGGGTGATGTGGGACCCCCACCCTGCAGCATCGTCAACCTGGGCTCAGGTGGGACTGGGGAAATCTTGGGGGGGTCCAGGGGGTTGGGACAGGGTTCTGGGGGGTCAGGGGGATGTGGGACTCCCACCCTGCCCCATGGGCAGGATCATCAACCTGGGCTCGGGTGGGTCTGAGGGGCACTGGGGAGTTCTGGGGCGGCTGAGGGGGGTTAGAGAGTTTGGGGGGGTCAGGGGAGGTCAGAGGGGGTCAAGGGGATGTGGGACTCCCACCCTGCCCAATGGGCAGCATCATCAACCTGGGGTCAGATAGGTCTGAGGGGCACTGGGGGTTTGGAGGGGGATCCTGGGGGTTTGTTGGGGGCTGGGAGGATGTTAGAGGGTTTGGGGGCGGTCAGGGCGATGTGGGACCCCCATCACTGCCCATGGTTGCTGTGGACAGGGGGGTTCAGGAGTCCAGGGGGAACTGAGGGGATTTGGGGGTCTGGGAGAGTCGAGGAGGGATCCAGGAATATTTGGAGGGTCCAGGGGTTGGGGGTTCAGAGGTAAGGGGGACACCTGACCCCCCTGGTTCAGGGAGGGCTTGGGGGAGTGTCCAGAGGGTCTGGGGAGGTTTGGGGGGGTCTGGGGTATTTGGGGGATCCAGGGGGGGTCTGTACCCCCTCCTTTTCCAACCCCTGACCCACTGATTTGTGCCCCCCGTCCCCAGGTCGGACTGTGACGTTGCCCCCCCTGAGCTCTGCTCCTTCCCCACGGCCAACGTGTCCCTGCTGGGGGAGCACCGCGAGAAGGTGGGGGGGGCCCAAAAATTTGGGGAAAGGGAGGGGAAGAATGTGGGGAAGCCTCTCAATAATAGGGGAGAGGTAAAAAATAAGGGGGGAGAGCAAAAATATTGGGGGGGGAAGTGTGCAGAAATATGGGAGGGGGGAACTCCAAAACTGGGGGAGATGAAAAATAGGGATGGGGGGGGCAAAATAGAGGGGAGACCCCAAAAATATTGGGGGGTAGCAAAATAGAGGGCATAAAAAATAGGGGGGATGAATAATGGGGGTAACTCAAAAATTTGGGGATGAGGGAGGGAAGGGGGGGACAGGGGGAGGGCTAAAAATTGGGGAATGGGTTAAAAAATGTGGGGGTCCCAAAATACAAAGGGGGGTAAAAAATAAGGAGGGGGGTAAAAGTAGGGGGAGTAAATAATATGAGGGGGGCCAAAAAGAAGGGAGGTAAAAGATATTTTTCCTGTCACATTTCCCACCATTTTCCCTTCACATTTCCCGCTATTTCTTCTCATCTTTCCCGCCATTGTCCTGTCCTGTTTCCCGCCATTTCCCCTCATATTTCCCGCCATTCTTCCTTCTCATTTTCTGCTCTTTTTTTTCCTCATGTTTTTTGCTGTTTTCCCCTCACATTTCCCACTGTTTTCTCCTCACATTTTCCACCTTTTCCACTCACATTTCCTGCCATTTTCCCCTCCTGTGTCTTGCCGTTTTCCCTTCCCCTTTCCCGCCATTTTTCCTCTCACGTTTCCTGACATTTTCCCCTCACATTTCCTGCCCTTTTTCCCCTCACATTACTCACCATTTCCCCTCACATTACTCACCGTTTCCCCTCACGTTTTCCTCCCTTTTCTCCTCACCTTTTCCTTCCTTTTCCCTTCACGTTTCCCTCCCTTTTCCCCTCACATTTCCCTCCCTTTTCCCCTCACATTTCCCTCCCTTTTCCCCTCACATTTCCCTCCCTTTTCCCCTCACGTTTCCCTCCATTTCTCCCTCACGTTTTTCTCCCTTTTCCCCCTCACGTTTCCCTCCCTTTTTCCCCTCACGTTTCCCTCCCTTTTTCCCCTCACGTTTCCCTCCCTTTTCCCCTCACATTTCCCTCCCTTTCCCCCTCACGTTTTCCTCCCTTTCCCCCTCACATTTCCCACCTTTTTCCCCTCACATTTCCCACCCTTTTCCCCCTCACATTTCCGTCCTTTTCCCTCACATTTCCGACTCATTCCCTTCACATTTCCCACCATTTCCCTCACATTTCCGCCCATTTTCCTCTCACATTTCCACCATTTTCCTCTCACATTTCCTCACCATTTTCCCTCTCACATTTCCCACCATTTTCCCCCCTCACGTTTCCCACCATTTTTTGCCCCTGTCCCGTCTCACCTGTCCCTTCTCCTGCCGCAGGTGCTGCTGTACGGGCAGCTGTACCGCGTGTCCCTGGAGCTGGAGCTGCCGGAGTCCCCGGTGAACCGGGAGCTCGGCATGTTCATGGTGGCCGTCACCTGTTATGGGGCCGGGGGGAGACCCTTGGCCTCGTCTGCACGCGGTGAGACCACCGGACCCCTGGGGGCCTGTGGGTCGGTGGGGATGGGGATGGGGAGTGTGGGGGTGACCCAGGGGGCTCGTGGGTCTGTGGGGCTGGGGATGGGGAGTATGGGGTGACCCAGGGGTTTGTGGGTCTGTGGGGCTGGGGATGGGGGTGTGGGGTGACCCAGGGTGGGCTGGGGTCCTCGTGGGTCTGTGGGGCTGGAGATGGGGATGTGGGGTGACCCAGGGTGGGCTGGGGGTCCTCGTGGGTCTATGGGCTGGAGATGGGGGTTGTAGGGTGACCCACATGGGGCTGGGGGACACATGGATTTGGGGGCTGGGGATGGGTGGGTCCATGGATCTCTGTGGCTGGAGGGGTGTGGGGTGTGATTTAGGGGGGCTGTGAGGGGCTGATTTGGGAGTCTTTCCCCCCACCACCACCCCAGACCATGCTCCATTACCGCTCCCGCCTGCTGAGGACCCTCCACACCGTGGCCTTTGCCGGGCTCTTCCTCAGCGGCTTCGCGGAGCAGACGCAGACCCTGGAGGTGGAGCTGATGGACCGATACCGCGAGGACCCCGTGAGTGGGGGGCTTTAGGGGGTCCTGAGGGTGTGAGGGAATCTGGGTCTCAGGGTGGTCAGAGCAGGCACAGACCCTGGAGGTGGAGCTGATGGACCGATACTGCGAGGACCCCGTGAGTGGGGGGCTTTAGGGGGTTTAGGGGCTTCAGGGGTCCTGAGTGGGTGTGGAGGGAATTTTGGGGGGTCCCAGGATGGTCAGAGCAGGCACAGACCCTGGAGGGGGAGCTGATCGGGCGAGGACCTGCTGGGTCTGGGAGGGGCTGGGGGTGGTTTGGGGGGTCCCAGGTGGTCCAGGGGTGGTTTGGGGGGTCCAGGGGGGGTTTATGGGGCAGGTCCCAGCCCCTCTGAACCCCCCGTGTCCCCCCCCAGTACAACCCCACAGTGGAGGTGGTGCTGGAGCTGCGCAGCCGGCGGGTGCAGTTTTACAGGGCCCAGCTGAGGGTCCACGCCCACTTCAGTGGGCTCAGGTACAGCGTCTGAGGACCCCAGACACAAATCCTGCCTCTCAACCTGCCCCCAGACCCAAATCCTGCCCCCAGACACAAATCCTGCCCCCAGACACAAAATCAGACTCCTGAACTGCTTCTGAACCCCAAAATCCAAATCCTGCCCCCCAACCTGCCCCCAGACACAAATTCTGCCCCCAGACCCAAAATCAGACCCCTGAACTGCTCCTGGACCCCCAAATCCAAATCCTGCCCCCCAGATCCTGCCCCCAGACCCAAATCCCGGCCCCAGACCCAAATCCTGCCCCCAGACCCAAAATCAGACCCCTGAACTGCTCCTGGACCCCCAAATCCAAATCCTGCCCCCCAACATGCCCCCAGACCCAAATCCTGCCCCCAGACCCAAATCCTGCCCCCAGACGCAAAATCAGCCCCCTGAACTGCTCCTGGACCCCAAACCTGCCCCCAACCCCCAACCTGCCCCCAGCCCCACCCCTGTGTCCATGCCCACATCAGTGGGCCCAGGTAATCTGGGGGAAGGGGGCTGGACCCCCAACCCCCTGTCCCACCTGTCAATGTGTCACCTGTGCCCTCCCCCCCAGGTACCTGCTGTACCACTTCCCCTCACCTGTAGCCCTCCTGGGGTCGTGGGAACTGACCCTCCTGGCTCTGCTCACCCTGGGGGTACCTGCAGTGGGGAGGGGCGGACCCCGCCCCCGCCTCTTCCAGGCCCCCCACAGGTGAGTCTGGAGGGGGAGGGGTTGGGGACCCCCCAAGGTGATTTTGGGGTGGAAAAAGGGGAAGGGGTTTGGGGAGGGGCTTGCTCATCTGGACCCTCTCCTCCCCCCCACAGGACACGAGGAGCGAAGGGACTGAGACCCTGGGAGGGGGAGGGGCAAGGTGAGGGGGTGGGGAGGGGCTGGGGAGGGGGATTTTAGGGGCTTTGGGAGGTAAGGGAGGGAGGGGGATTTTGGGGGTAGGGGAAAGGGTTTGGGGGCTGGGGGAAGGACTTTGGGACAGGGGTCTTTTTTGGGGGGTCTAGGATTTTGGGGCTATGGGGGCAAAAAATGGGGGGTTGGTGGGATTTTTGGTGGGGGAGGGGAGGTTTTGGGGGGGATTTTGAGGGGGTTTAATGTGATCCCTCCCCTCAGATTCCTCAGAGTGCCCCCAAAGTTCAGAAGAGCCCGAAATGGTGGGACCCTCGGAGCCAGACGAAGGTGGGGGAGGGGCCCTGCACCCCAAAACTGCCCCCAAATTCCCACCCCTGGGTGGGGAGGGGCAGATTTGGGGAGGGGCCCAGATTTGGAAGGGGAGGGACCAAGATTTGTGGGGAAAGGAATCCAAATTTGAGGAGGAAGGAGGGGAGGGTCCAAAATTTGGGGGACACACTCCAGGTTTTGGGGGAGGGGCCTGGATTTGAGGGAGGGACCCAAATTCTGGGGAAGGGATCCCAGATTTTGGGGGAGAACACCCAGATTTGGGGAGGGGCCAAGATTTGTGGGGGAGGGGCCCAGATTTGGGAGGGACACACTCAGGTTTTGGGGGAGGGGGTTCAGATTCGGGTGGGACCTCCAGTTTTGGGGGGTCTCACGGCCCCACCCCTCCCACAGACCCCCTCTGCTCGGAGCTGCCAACGCCTCCCAAGGGGGAGGAGGAAGAGGAGAAGGAGGAGAGGGAAGAGGAGGAGGAGGGAGGAGGGAAGGGGTCACCCCACGACCCTCCCCTCCCTCCGGAGCGCCCCTCCCCGCCAGCGCCACCTCTGCTCCAGCTCCTGAACCCCCTCCCCAAATTCGGGGAGCTCAATAAACGCCCCTCCCCACCTCCAGTGGGCGTGGCCTCTGCTTGGGGAGGGGCGCTGACCCCCAATTTGGGGGTGGGACCGCCGGGGTAAGGGGGGCGTAAAGAGCGAGACCCTCAGGTGGGGGTGGGAGGGGCCAAATTCTGCCTGGACCCCCAAAATCTGCCCCAGGACCCCCAAACTCCCCTCAAATCTACCCCAGGACCCCCCAGATGCCCTCAGGACCCTCCAGCCCCCCTCATGCCTCTTAGGACTGCCCGAAACCCCCTTCAGGATGTTGGGGTTTTTTCCGCCCCATTTTTTGGGGCCGTTTCGGGTCATTTTGGGTTCCTTTCCCCGTGTCCGCGCTCGGGACGCGATCGCGTCGCGCTTTGTTTGTCCCCCCCGGGCCGCCGTCGCCGGGGGGCGGTCACGTGATCGGCCGGGCCGTGATGGCGGCGGGCGGCGGGGCCGGGCCCGGCCGGGCCCTCGAGGCGCTGCTCGAGATGGGATTCGGGGCCCGCCGGGCGTGAGAGACGGACCGGGGGCACCGCGGAGGGCACGGGGGGAACCGCGGGGCAGCACCGGGGGGGGCGGCCAGGGGGCTCCGGTAACCGGGAGAGGAGTCGAGGGGGGGCTCCGGTAACCGGGACGGGATCCGGGGTGTCCTGCGATGGGCTCCGGTAACCGGGAGGGGATCCCGGGATTGGGGCTCGGGACACCGGGAGGGGACCCCGGGATCCGGGGTATCCTGAGATGGGCTCCGGTAACCGGGAGGGGAGCCCGGGATGGGGCTCGGGACACCGGGAGGGGACCCAGGGTGTCCTGGGATGGGCTCCGGTAACCGGGAGGGGGTCCCGGGATGGGGCTCGGGACACCGGGAGGGGATCCGGGGTGTCCTGGGATGGGCTCCGGTAACCAGGAGGGGGTCCTGGATTGGGCTCAGGACACCGGGAGGGGATCCTGGATGGGGCTCGGGACACTGGGAGGGGATCCTAGGATTGGGCTCGGGACACCGGGAGGGGATCCAGAGTATCCTGGGATGGGCTCCGGTAACCGGGAGGGGAGCCGAGGGGGTCCTGGTAACCGGGAGGGATCCAGGGTATCCTGGGACGGGCCTGTAACGGGAGAGGAGCCCGGATGGGGCTCGGGACACCGGGACGGGATCCGGCGTGTCCTGGGATGGGCTCCGGTAACCGGGAGAGGGTTCGAAGGGGGCTCCGGTAACCGGGCCGGGTCCTGGAATGGGATCGGTAACCGGAGGGGGGTCTCGGTGCCCCCCCCCCGGTGTTAACGGGGGGTCCCCGCAGGGCGAAGGCGCTGGCGCTGACCGGGAACCGAGGGGTGGAACCGGCCATGGACTGGTGAGGGGAGACCCCCAAAACCGCCCCAAACCCACCCGGGACCGCCCAAACACCCCCAAAATCCACCTGGGACTTTCTTAAACACCCCAAACCCCACCCGGGACCGCCCAAAACCCACCCGGGACCACCCCAAAACCCCCCCAAAACCCACCCGGGACCCCCAAAAACATCTCCAAAATCCACCTGTGCCACCCCAAAACCCCACCCAGGACCGCCCCAAACCCACCCGGGACCCCCAAAACCCACTCGGGACCGCCCCAAACCCACCTGGGACCGCCCCAAAACCCCCCCAAAACCCACCCGGGACCACCCCAAAACCCCCTGCGGGACCCCCAAACCCCACCCAGGACCGCCCAAACCCCACCTGGGACCGCCCCAAACCCACCCGGGACTGCCCCAAAACTCCCTGCGGGACCCCCAAAAACATCTCCAAAATCCACCTGTGCCACCCCAAAACCCACCCGGGACCCCAAAACCCAGCCGGGATCCCCAAAACCCCCAGGACCCCTTTGAGACCCCCTCCCCAACCTCACCCAAAACACCCCCAGACCCTCCTG